TCAACCGAACAGGTTCAAAGCCCGGTCCCAAATGGCCGTGGCACGTCCACACGTCCGCACAAGTATAAGCTCTAATTACATAGGAACGAGGAGGAAGATGAGTCCTGTAGGCAGCCGCTTGCCATCACATCTCTAGAGAGGAGCCAGGATCTGGGCATCGCCGCAGGGGCTGCAGCGGCACCGCAAGAGCTGTCGCATGCGCAAACGGTTTGGGGGTTGTCTCTTTTTAAAACAAATAATAATCGGAAACTGGTGTTCCTCTAATCTCTTTCATGTGCAGACATCGCAGGCATTACTTGTAGCAGCACAAGGTAAATAATGAGCAGAGGGAAATGCGATGGTTAACTCGAGAGGGTCCTTTTAATCTCAGGGGCCCTTTGATGTACCTGAACAGAGCACCTCGCTGACTTTGCTCCGCTCACCCTGGATTCATTTTAGGGTTCTGAGCCCAACTCCACATCTTCTAGCTTTGAAGAAGTTGGGGTCAAACGCCAGCTTTTGTCTCCACGAGAATCAAAAAACTTAAAAACATACATACAGCTCCAAACATAACAGCTCTCTCCCAGCTACGCAGGCACCGGTAACGTGAGGACGGAACCAGAGGTGACAAAACAGTTCATTAAGAGACACTATCTCAGGATAAATCCTCGTGTTGGCTTTAGCCGCTTTTTTTTTCTGCAGAAGCAGGTTTTTCTGTAACACCCAGCTCAGTTGCACACTGGTGTCGAGTGCCCGTTCCTCTTCCACATTCAGCATCTCCTGGGCTCCCTTCCTCGAGTCACGGGAGATGCTGTAATATGCCAGAGAAAGCAAAGTGAATCCCTTATGTTTCTTTTGCTAAATGCTCCTTAACCGTTTCACAGCAGCCTGTTCCTGGCAATTATGTGACAATTCAGCACAAATGTCACAGAGCTGTTAAGTTTTCAGCACTTTCTGCAGTGCTGAGGCTGGAAAACAATGCATATATATATTTTGCTGATCCAAGTCCTTAGTAATTACATTTAATAGATCCCAGAGGGATTCCTAGGTAACCTGCACTATGGTTTCCATGGCAGAGAGACAGAGCTTGTACCCTGTGATAACAGATAATAATGGATTGTTAATGCTTAAATTAATTATACTACAATTGTATTTGTAAACCAGCTGCCCCTTTTATTCCCAGTAAGACTCTTGAGTTGCTACACAACGGTTAAAGGAGAAAAACAAACAAGGTGGAGGGGCAGGAGTGGTGGTGCTCGGCTGCAACCATCATCAGAGCTGCAGTGTGCCCAAAACCACAGACTGGAAGAAGCCGTCACTCATTACTTCTACAACAATTACTGTTATTACTCCTGTGCCATAACAAGGGTTTATTCACATTTTAGTGCTTCCATGGGTTTGGGTCTGTGTTCCAGCTCTCTAAACTTTGGAGGAATTCTTAGAAGTCCTTGGAGACTTCGATACAGAAGGACTCTTTTACCTAGGTGATACTGGTGTACGTTGCCCATCCTTGGCAGATGTTTTCCTCCTCCTATGAAGGAGTCCAGGGATCTTAGTATAAAAAAAATTTTAAAAGCCAGCCCCAGAGCTGCCTCGTTTTGCTGATGAAATTTGCCATCGCCCAGCACGCTGGATGATGCTTAGGCACACCAGAGCTTGATTTAATTTTTCCTTTCCTGGAGCCAGGCTGGTAACCATTCTGGGTGGAATTCATCTCAAGTCACTTGGTCTACAGACAGCCTAGATGGTTAGCGCAGACTAGATGTCTAACGTTTAGACAGCTAAAATTGGGTGAGGGGACGCTGCCAACTGGCGTCTGCTTCCCAGTAAAGCAGGTTCTGGACTTGCGGGCACTGTGCTGGGAGGCAGCGTGGCGTTTCGCAGCGGAGCCTCGTCTCCTGAATGACAGGCAGGGTAGTTTAAACAAATCTCTGCAGCTCCTGACGGCCTGCTTTGGCACTACTGTTTCAGGGCTAAAAGAGAGTGTCGTAGCTTTTGAAAAAAAAAAAAAAAAAGATGAAAAAGAAAAGCTTTGCAGGTTGCTTGAGTGTTTGACACACAAAGCCCAGGCTCAGAAAATCAGCTCGACCTCTGGCTTTCTAGCACCTCAGAGCCTGCGATACCCCCGGCCTCGGGGTTTTCTTTGGGCTTCTCGAAGTCTCAAGGAGGCCACAGATGAGATAAAGCACCACCGAACTACTAAAGCAACATGCAAAGTTGCAAATCAAGGGCTCTGTCTCTTCTTTCTACACAGGGCTGGCTCACGTTAGAGAGCCAGGATGCAGCGTGAGGAGTTGTAAAAGCTGCTAGTTCTAAAATGCTGGCTGTAGCTGCAGTAAAAGGGAGTTCACTGACCTATTGCCAGGCTGGGCTCAGCAAAACATCTCTTCCAAAGCACAAACACAGAAGTGATTCATCGTCTGCCTGGGCACGGAGCAGGAATCGCTTCTTAGAAACAGATGACACATATCCCAGGACATCCTTGCCATCAAAGGGGAGAAGGGCAAGCGTTTCCTCTGAGCAGAGGTTAAGGCACAAAGACCTTACAAGTGAGAAATAAGCCAGACATAAGCATTTAGAAGTGCAGCAAGATTCATAATTGGAGCTAAAACAGAAGCTTCAGAGTCACAAAGCTGCTTATCCGCCAGCTGCCACAGGCAGGACTCCAGGCCCTGCCAAGACACGCGGCGTCTCACTGGGGGGGAACAGCCATACCTGCAGTCGCTGCCTGGAGAGCCCTTGGTGGCCTTAGGAGAGGGAAAAGGGTGTTACAAAAGAGGGAACTGTAAAAAGGAAGCAGAATTTGTAGGTTGTCAGACAGTCAGATTTGAGCTGTTCTGTTTGCAGAGACCCCTCCCCTCCCTGGCCAGCCTATTTCTGGGATGCTTTTGCTGGCAAATGGAGATGACCCCACATAGGCAGTGGCAAAGCAAAGATTTCCTCCTGCCTCTGCACTGAACAGAGGATGCAAGATGCAAATAGATGCAAACTGAACCAGGGAGCTGAGCAAAACATTGGTGCACAGGAAGCCAGTTGCTGCTGATGCAAGCGGGTAGGTGCATGTTGACTCCCCCCATTTTCCTAGATGAGGGCACAGCTTCAATGTCCTGGTGTATAAATGAAGGGCGTGCTCCCTCCCTGGACACCATCCCATCAGCATCCTCCGAACACAAGTACCAGAGGGTTGTGATCTTGCTCAGTTCAACAGTTCCATCCCGAAGTGTCTGTGTTTGTGAGGGTAAAGCTCAAACACCGGGGAATTAAGAGGCAGCCAGTCCTGCTCTCTGCCTTTTGTCAGGGGGGGTGGAAAGCAGCCTCCAGATTATCCCAGGCTGCCATACAACTTTGCCTCCTTCGTGGTGTCGAAACCATCTGGTAGTCTGAGCGGAGCAGGGGTAGAAATGGTGGCTGCTGCTTTGGCAGGGAAATCAAACAGCGAGTGGACGAGAGAGCAGTTTAGTCCTCCCCTGGCTGCGAGGTGGAGGGAACCGAACGCGTTTTGTGTCTCGGTGGTGCCCTGCCAACAGAAACAATGACAGTGATAATCGCTCGCAATCTGTTATTATATTAACACGAGCTCAAAAATCGTAAAACCCAATAATCTTTTGAAATGAAGCTAAACCCCCCCAAATGTAAATAACACACCGCATCGCAGTGCTTGGCAGCGGCAAGGCCGGGGAGTGGGGATTTGGG